CTCACCCTGTGATCTTTCCTGGTGTTGATGTTTTATTCATTTCTCTGCAGTGATTTCAGAGCCGTGTGGCGGCTTGCTCGCCGAACCTAGTGAGCAAACTGTGTTTGTGTTGGGCTGATGGTACACATATCGCTCAAGGAACATGAGAGAAAGTGTAACTAAAACAGGAAAGTAGAAACAGTTTTAATTCCTCTTGGGCTCTCTGAAAACAGCAGTTGTGATTCCAGAAAGCAGAGATACAAAATGCTTGCAAATTCAGTTTGCCAAGTAAATAAGTCTCCTTGTCCCAGGTGGCTGACCCTGTTTACCATCTAGTGAAGGACAGAGGCCTTATGACTCAAAGCTTATATACCACACTAAAAAATAGTTTAAATGGTAGCTTTTTTGTTACATATGCTTTATCAAAGTTTTTAAAAGGTCCATATTCAGATAATATAGTGCCCAGGACCTGTCAGATCAAATTCACTGTATTTTTTTTTCTCTCCTTAAAATACTGTTTTGCCTTAAAAAAAAAAAAAATGCATCTCTATGTCACATTAATAAGATGGCTTTAATTCCTGAATCAGTGGTGTTTATTTCCTAAGATCTCATACATTTTTCTATTTTGTGGATTGTGAATGGTGCTAGCTTGTTTAGCTTGATTTTAAAAGTGAGCCATCCTAAACATAGTTCATTTCTCAGGCAGGCCCTGGGTTGTAACCTGAGTCAGTCAGCAGGGCTGGTTCAGTATAAGAGATCTGTAGCAAGTTTCCAATGTCTCAAGTCATGTTGCATTCCTGTTTTTCTTTGCCCCACCTCAGAAAATGCCCAGGCTCCCATATTCCCACATTTTCTCAATAGGGCCCAGCCTCCTACTGAGCCAGCAGGTCAGACGGGTGCCCTCCGGGGCTGTGTGTGCATGGACTTTTCAGCATGGATGGGTGTTTCTGCTTGCATGGGTGTGGTGTATTTTGGGGGTGGGGAGTGAGGGGTGCTTGTTCCCTTAGAGGGATTTTAATTCTGCTCAATTCACGCTGGCCCTCCCTGAGCTTGGGCCATCAGCGGAGGCTTCCGCTTCTGCTCTAGACCAGAATCTGAGACTGATGGGGGAACGTCAACAAGAAGCTGCCTGTGTGCGTTGAGCAGACTTAGAAGGGGGTATTTTTGACCTTTGTGTGTGGTAAAGCAATTCCAAAATTATCTTGCTCCTCTGTCTAGAACTGGGGAGGGTTGTTGAACCGTATGTGTATTTTTATTTGTGCTTGTCAGGAAGTGCTAAGGAAAACTCGGTACTAGCAGCTCCTTGGGTGGGAGTGAGGGTTAAGGAGACTCTAGGAAGAAGGATGAGCACCCAGGGAGAGCTCGCTGGTGCTCGCACCTCCGCAGGGAGTGGTAATTACGGCTTTTCCAACCCTCAGCCCCAGGCAGGCCCCCTTCTAACAAGCCAAAGCCGCGTTTCTCAGCCTCCACTCGCAGGAGAGCCTCTACCCAGCAGTCTGCTGTTGGACAGCTCCCATTTTTGGCATGTTCTAACTATTAGGCAAAATCTGCATTTTGGGTGCATTGCATCAGCCAGCCCCAACTGTGCCCTCTGTCCCATTCCCATGTGGGACATCCGCTGTGTTGTACGGGATTGTACCCCACGAATGCATTCCTCTCTGCACACTCAGAGCGTCATGACTGCCGGGGGGAATTGTGACCAGGAAGCTGTATTTCCCTCGTCTTTACTCACCAAATTATCAAACAAAGCAGCAGGAATGGCTGTTATTGCAATACGGGCTCCAGCATGTCAGGCACCATGCTCAGTGTTCTCTATCTGTTATCTCATTTAAACCTCCAACGGCCCTATTACAGTTGGTATTATCCTCACTGTGGGGAAACCAAAGCTAAGAGAGGTTAAGTAATTTGCTCAAGATCATCTAGCTAGTAAGTTTACGGATCTGGAATTAGAACTCAGGTGAGCTTACCCCAGCTTACAACTCACTATAGACTCAGAGAAAGCAGGAAAAAAAGTCACAGAATCACAGAACAAAGTAGCTGATTACTTCTTGCCTCCTCCAGGGATAGGCATTGAAAAGCACCCCTCTGCTCAGAAATGCCTTTTATAGGATGCTTGAAAGAGGATGAAGGAAGTGCTCAGAGCTTACTGGGTTCAGAGGACAGGCCTGGAGTGTGTGGTGTGGGCGGGGGAATGCAAGGGGATAGTGGCAGCCCACGTGCTGGGGGCCCCTTGGGCCTGTGAGCAGAGCCAGGTCACCATTCCTTCATGCCTGGGCAGGCTCGAGCTGCAGCCCTCTTCAGGAGAAAATTAAATTGAGGTTTTTGTTTTTTAATCTTTGAAAAACAGTGTCAGGAAGTAAATGAGGCTATGGTATAGCCCAGTGGATTTTTAAATTTACTTTTATAGTGCCATGTAATCACACATAGTAAAACGCACTTAGCTCCAGCTAGTATAACAAGAATGCCATCCACTGGGCGGCTTAAACAGCTTTACTGCATTGCCTAGAGGCTGGGAGGTCCAAGATCAAAGCGCCAGCCGATCTGGTGTCCAGTGAAAGCCCGCCTTCTTGTTTGCAGATGGCCTTGTTCTCATTGTATCCTACAGGACGGGGGATCAGGGTAAGCTCTGGAGTCTCTTTTCACAAGGGCACTAATCCCATTCATGAGGGCCCCACCCTCATGACTTAATGACCTCCTGAAGGTCCCACATATAGAGGTTATAATTTCAACACATGAAGTTGACTCAGTCCATAAATGCACAGATCATTAGGGTACGTACAGTTTCATGAGTTTGAACAATTGCATAAGTCTCTGTAGTCAACGACCCAAGCAACATGTAGTGGATATCCATCACCTAGACAGTTCTTCATGCCCTTTTCTAGTCATCTTCTTCCCCCTCCAGCAGTAAGCCATGGTTGGTTTGGTGTTTGCTATATACTCCTCATCCCTATCCGTGGGAACACGAGAATACAGAATGTGGCTTTGAGAACAGGGCCAGGGCTGAGATGTACTCATGGAGGAGCGTGAGCGCCTACCCTTACGTGCTCCAGCGGCTCACACACCTCACCCCACACCCAGCCCCATTTGACCAGGTGGCCTGTCACACAGACACCAAAATGGTTGGCTGCACACAGAAAATTATGTGGCCTGGCCCCCGTGAGTGGCCAAACCAAACTCACCAATTCATATACTTCCAGGGTTTGCTGGACACCAGCCTGAGTGAACGTCATGCTTTTAAATTAGTTCTGTTCCCTTCCCTACATCAACCATTCTTGCCCTGTCACACTTAGAAACCTGTAGGAACCTCATGAAAGACAGCCATCCGCCAGGGTCAGGCCGAGTTCGCTGTGGCAGCACATTGGTGGAGAGGGTGCAGCCTGCTCTCCGCCGCACTCTGAGCTTCCCCACACGTAGGCAGCAGCTCACCAAACGAACTACCATCCAGCCGGCCTGACGAGTGGACATTCTGACTCCTCACAGACCCTTGCTGTCAGCGGGTTTTCCAGTTGTGGGCTTCATGTGTCCTTGTTTTTAGAGGGCACTTTCATTGTGATGCTTGTTTTGTAAAGTTTAGAAGAATTCACTTATACTAAAACATACATAATGCAAAACCTAGGCTGAACATAATTAAATATTCCCCTAATGGCTTTAGAGGGAGTTGGGAATCTTGCAGTCCTCCGAAAGCATCCTTATAGTTTCATTCATGTAGGATTTCTCATTAGCCAACTAATAGAGAATTTCAGCTAGTAGAGCTTCAGATGTGGTCTTCCTGTATTTGCTGGGTTTGCATTCAAGAGTTTTATAATTCCACTCAGGAAGACTACACTCAGCACTAAGCTTTGAAGTGAAGCCTTATCTAGAAAGATGGGTTATAATAGAATTCAGTTCTATTCAGCATCTTGCAAACAGAGCCCACCAGTAAGTAGAGTTTAGAACATGGGTTTGGGATCCAACCTCCCTGGGTGCAGATCAGGGCTCAGTTACCTATGATCTGTGTGTGACCTTGAGCAAGCTGCTTACCACCCTGAGTCTCAGGTTCCTCCTCTGTGAAATGGGGCTAAGAATTGTCCACACCCAGATGGCTGTTGTGTGGATTAAATGAGAACACACGTGGGGGTTGGAGGGCCTCAGGAAGCCTGGCATGAGGTGCTCTGTGAGTGGCAGCATTTCAAAACAAAGTCAGGGACAACTTTGGTAACCAAATGAGAGCAATTTAAGGACCTACATTATGGTCATTCCCCTTACAGATGTCTTAAAGAGATCCTGATACTTCGTCAGGGGATCTTGTGGGGGTTCCGAGGACAACAGAGGGTAGCCAGTCAGTGGCCAGGGCCCTGAGCCCCCAACCAGCACCCACATAAAGCAGCTTGGCTTTTGTCTGTTCCACATATCCCAGTTCCTGGGACACCTTTCCTTTTGACTGCTGCTCAGAAAGTCAGGAAACCCCTGATTTAATCCACCCCCTCATTTCATAGATGAGGAAACTGACCTTCCCATGCGCTCAGCAGAAGTCTCCTGACTCCCAGACCTGTCTGTTTCCAATACCCCACACCATCATAAGTGGGGACAAATAAAAGGAGGAGAGAAGACAGTGCTGAGTCAGCTATTGTGTTTTCACGTGATTCTTCCAGCCGGTTCCTTGTACCAGAAGTGTCTCTAGAGAAAGGAAATCATCCATTTGACCCCCCGCCCCAGAGTTCAGTAGATAGAAGCCCTGGTTTGTGTGTGCACAGGTGTGAGGAGCAGGGGTCTCTGTAAAAAAGATACTTGCCTGGAAGTTCCTCCTCCTCTCCCATTGGGGAACCCACTGCTCTACCTAATGACTTTGCTCCATCCCATGGCCACTGACCATGCCTCTCTCCGTGGCCAGCATCTTGCAAACGTATGCCCACAGGCCCGCAGGAGAGCACCCAGGTGACGTCAGGTTTCTGTCCTTCCTACCAGGGAAACATCCCGCCAGGACGCAGGCCGGCGTCCATTCAGTCCTCAGCCGCTTATTTTGCACGTCCTCTGTTTTCCAGCCTCTCAACATCGCCTACAGCCACATCTACAGCTCCTACAGGAACTTCGTGGGGCCTCCTCACTTCAAGACCATCTGCAGGCTCCTGGGTTACCAGGGCATCGCCGTGGTCATGGAGGAGCTGCTGAAGATCGTCAAGAGCTTGGTAAGGACGGGCACCGTGGGGCCTGGGACACGCCCAAGTGGGGTTGATGGGAACGAGATCTGCTGGGACTCTTTGCCTGGCCTGTGACGTCATGACACTTCAGCTGTGTCTGTAGGAATCACCCAGGGAGTCCTTTGCCCTTATCCCTTAGTTCCTGAGACCTGTCGCTCTCGCACATTTCTGTGCTCCTCCTGACTTGTGGCTGGGCGTCTCATTTTCTGACCCTGAACTTACTCCACGTACTTGATGCCTGAACTCAGCGATCCTGATGTTGACCTTTAGGGCCCAGAAATGACTGCTCGTAGTCCCCTCCAGAGCCATGTTTAGGGCAAACCCGTGACTGATTACACCCCAAAGGCCCCATCTCCAAATATCATCACGTTGGGGATTAGGGGCTCAACATGTGAATTTACAGGGGACACATTCGGTCCATCACCCTTACCCCCAGGTTTCCGCAGAACCCCCGTGCACCCCCGTGCACCCCAGTAGCCCCGTGTTCGACCTGAAGACGCACCTGTGCACACGGGTGGGTAGGTTCATCTTGTCCTCTTGTTTCCTCAGCTCCAAGGGACCATTCTCCAGTACGTGAAAACCCTGATCGAGGTGATGCCCAAGATCTGCCGCTTGCCCCGGCATGAGTATGGCTCCCCAGGTTGGTGATGGGGAACTGCGGTCAGAGGCAGTGACAGGGAAATAATCCAAACCCCTCCTTGCAGTGGGGGGGACTCCGGCCACCCACCTTGGCATGTTTGCTTCTCTAACAGGCAGTGAGCTGGCAGAGCTCGGGTTTGCATCTTCCCTCTGCCACTAACTAGCTGGAGAGGTAGCCTTGAACCCTGTCTAACCCCTCTGGGCAGTAGGAGGGTCTTCCATCTGCCAAGGTGAGCGATGCCTGCTGGGTCCGCCTCACAGGACCGCAAGGTGTAAGAGGACTGCAGATGTGAGAGCGTTTAAGTCATGTGCTAGCCGGGTTTCCTCGTGAAGGTCTCCACTAGCTCAGCACCTCTGGAATTCCTTCCTCCATGTGCCTAGATGGAGGAGGAGGCTGGGGCCCAGGTGGCATTTCTAAGGGGAGTCAGGAAACAGGAGTTTCTGCCATTCGACCTCTGGGCAGAGAAATGATTCTTTCCTTCCATCATAGCGGAGTGGGGACTACAGCGGGGGCCTGGGGAATATAGAAGGATGGAGACTAAGAGTTTGGCTCCTGGTGTTTTTTTCTAAAAACCAGGATGCCAGGTGCTGGGTCAGTGGGATTCAGAAAAGGAAAGGGCGGGGACTGAAAGCTCTGGTTTTTGGACTCGGCTGCCCCATGTGCTAAGCTGTGTGACTCTGGACATGCCGCTTACCCTCTCTGAGCCTCGTTTGAAAACCTGAGGAATGGTGCCTAGTCGGTGGTGGTGTTATGAATATTAAAGGAGATATTGCAGATAATGTCCTTAGCACGGTATCTAACACCGATAAATAAATGTTAATTCCTGTCGCTATTAGGAATTCAGGTGACTTTTTGGAGGGACTGGGGAAGACCCAGGGCTGCTCTGTGTGTGTGTGTGTGTGTGTGTGTGTGTGTGTGTGTGTGTTTTGTTTTGTTCCAAAAACACATTAGAACTAGCCTCCTGATCTTTCTCTAGTCCTGAGCCTGAATGAAATCCTGCCCTGCCCAGCAGGTTTGGCTTTTTGCTGTCCCTGAGTCAGGTGCGCGGCTGCTGCGCAGCTGGCGTTTTCCCATTAACCCCGCTGAGCTCTTTCAATCAACCTCCTGCTGACCGTCCCCCTGCCTCCCCCAGGGATCCTGGAGTTCTTCCACCACCAGCTAAAAGACATCATTGAGTACGCAGAGCTCAAAACAGACGTGTTCCAGAGCCTGAGGGAAGTGGGCAACGCCATCCTGTTCTGCCTGCTTATAGAGCAAGCTCTGGTGAGTCCTGGTCCAGAGGGGCGCCGTGGGAGGAAATGGGGAGAGAGGCTGCTGTGGGGAGGCACGACCCTCAGGACACAGCAGGAACATGGGCATCCATTCCCGGAGTTTTCTCTCTCTGTCCATGCATTCGGTGAACAGCGTCGGCAGCTTGCCCATAGCCCGGTGCAGTTCTAGGTGGTAGGTAAGTGGCCAGGCACAAGGGCGACAGATCATTACTGTTTTCATTCCGGAGAGGGAGGTGACGGAAGAAGATAGAGTTCAGAGATTGTGAACGCAGGTGGGGGTACATGCCGTGAATCAATCAACAGGGAAAGAGGACAGAGAGGGACGGGTGTGGGGAGAGGATGGAGCTGGATGTGTTTAAGAGGAGAGAACTCCCGAGAGGCGTGAAGAGGGTAAGGGGACAAGGCAGGAGCTGAGGTGGGAGAAGCAGGTGGCCACAGTCCCCGGGCCATCGGAGCATTGTGAGATGGAGTGAGGGGGTCCGATTTGTGTTTTTGAGAGGCCTTTTGGCCTTGGGGAGGAGACCTGACTGGAAGGTGAGTGAGGACGAGGCCATTTGCAGTTGTCCAGCCCAGGGACACCTGGAGATGGGAGGGAAAGAAAGACGCGAGAAGGAGGTGGAAGGAAGGTAGAGAGAGGTGAGGAGGCAGCCGTGATAGCAAGAGCTCACAATAAAAGCCAAAGAAAGGCCTTGCTCCCAGTTGCCTAGAAGCCGGCTCGCTCTGTGCCGCGGGTCCCCGTCTGCATGGGAGGGACGCATAGTCATCGGGAAATCTGAAATGCGCAGTTTGGCTTTTCCTCCATGAGGAGTGATTGCCTCCCTGTTCCCCATTAAATGGACTCTCGAGGCAGCTAAGTGTTCCTCTTTATAGTAACAGGTTTTTAACATGGTTCAGTGTGCCTGGGTTGCCATGGCAGCTTAGCTCTCAGAAGTCACAGGGATGAGATGAGTAGGAATCACTGCTCCGCTCAAGGCCTCAGGAAGACGCTCAAGGCCTCAGGAGGACGAGGAGATGCCAGGAGGGCGCCAGGATTGGAGGTGGGGGAGGGCAGGGCTGGGTCCCCGAAGCCTCAGGTCCTGCCCCGTTAGCGCCTCCTGAGCATCAGGTCAACTTCCGTTGTGCAGACCCTGAGAGGCAGGCAAAGGATGGGGCGACAGGGAGAGGGGAAAAGCCGGGGTGGCCACTTGCATGTATCACTGAGGACACTCAGGATCAAAGCCCTCCAAGGGCTGAGAGAGACCCAGCCTGTGTGTGTTCCAACCCCCTCTGTTCACAAGGGAGAAGGGAAATGGCGAACCGGAGAGGGGAGCCCCTCCCGCAAGGCCACGCAGCCGCAGAGGCAGAAAGGAAGGCCTGTTTTCAGTACCGTTCCTAGTCCTGGGGAGGGGTGGGCGGCCCATATCAAAGATCAGGGCTCCCCAAAGCAGTGCACTCTGCTTTCTGATTAGATAGCTGGGGAAATCTCCAAGCTAAGTCACCTTTCTGAGATTAGAATGGGGCATGAATGAGCTTTCTGGAGCTTTTTACTTTATGAAACTGCAATTACATAACTATTTAAATGACACATCAGTTGTCATTAAAGAGGGGAACTAATAGCGAAAGAAAGAGAGGAGGGGAGGGGAGCGGAGAGGGAAGCGCTAAAGTAGCTTTGTACATAACAGCATAAAAAAAATGTGTAAGTCATAGTATTGAGAGGGGGAAAAAGGTAGCCTCAGGACAAGACACACAGTATGAGGCCACGCCTGTAAAATAAAAAATAAGAAAACCCACTAAAGATTACTACATGAAAAAAACCTTCCCCAAAAAAGCATAGTTTAATCATTTTCTCTATGTATCAGGGAGGAAAACAGGATTAAAGGTCAATAGGGAAACCAGGGTTAAAGGTCAAAACAGGATTAAAGGTCAAAAGGTCAAAGGTTATTTTTCTCAGGAATGCCTGGTATTTTACGAGAAAACTATGTTCATGTAGTACTGTTGAACTAAAAGTAAATATAAAAAGTAGAAGTAGTATATAATAGTTTTAGAAAACCTCGAAGGATACTGAAAAGTGCAAAGTGAGAAGTTTTGCCCATTTTCCTTTTGTGTCATCTGTCTTTTTCTAACAGATTTGCGGAGTTCTTTCTGGTTGTGGGCTCCATATTGAGGCATATTCTGCAAACACCTTCTCTCATTCTGTGGCTTGCCTTTTTTAAACAGATTATTAATATATCACTAATTTGTAAGAGTAGAGATATAAATTGAAAAGGTGATTACCTAGACAAAGGTATATTTTCCTCTTTAAGTTAGGTACTTACAAATTTTCTTAAAATTCAGGATGCAATATTAGTACAGAACCCCACACACCTATGGAGTGAGGTGTTTGTTTGCTTGGTGCTTTTAATTAAGGTCTAATGTATATCCCATAATATACAGACTATGCAGTATTCTCACTGCATAGATTAATTGAATTGTCCATTTTCCTTTGGATGGACATTTGAATCATTCACACTTTGATGCTATTATGAAGGAAGATGTCAGGAATGTCCTTGTGCATTTCTCTTGGTGAATATAGGCCCTCATTTTTGTCAGGTAAATACCTGGCAGTGCAATGGTTTGAGTCGATGCATAGACATATGTTTAGCTTCAGTAGATACCTGCCAAACAGTTTGACAAAGTAGGGTACCAATTTATTTCCCCATTCAGCGAGGTATCAGCATTTTAATTCTTCGCATCCTCGTGAACACTTGCTGTCTCTCTTTTCAGCCATCGTAGGCTGTCTCTGGTGGCTGAGTCACGATGTCTCATTACGGTTGGTATTTCCCTGATGACTAATGATGCTGAGCCTCTTGCCATGTGGCGTTGCCATGTGCACGGCCTCTTTCTGAAATGCTGTCCAGTATTTTCACCTATTTTTAATTGAGTCATTTTTTTCTTATTGGTTTACAGATATTATTTCTATATTGTGGATACAAGTCCACTAATTTTAAGAAAATTACAAGTATATTCCTGCAGCTTATATTTTGATGAACAAAAGTTTCTAAGGTTTAGCTTATTTATCTTTTTTCTTTTCCTGTAGGGCTGGTGCTGTTGTGAGTTATTTAAAAAGAATCTTCCCTACTCTAAAGTCATAAACATATGTTCTCTTCTAAAAGTTTTAGAGTTTAGCCTTTCCAGGCGTTAACAGGCCTTTAAATGTATTACGTATCTGAAGTGGATGTGTGTGTTTAATGGGAAGTGAAAATCCAATGTCATTCCTTGCCAAGTTGTCCCAGCACCACTGATTGAAAAGGCCTTCTCGTTCCCGCTCTGCACTCGTCATGCTGCATCTGTCATTTATCCGGTGGCCGCAAAGGGGCTGGTTGTGGCACGCTCTTAAATATATTTGAGTCTAATCTGAAATGAGTCAGCATTTCTTAAGTACCTGTTTATAAGTCTGTTATGCTTTTCATGGGAATTCTGTTGTGAATGACTAGTAGTTCCTCTAGTGTCTTTTACCCCAAGAAATCATAAAGTGGTCGTTAAGGAAATGTTCCACAGTCACCATGATTTTATTCAAATTTTGTGTGGTTTTCAAGCCATCAGCCCATTGCTTGTTATGCCGACACGCACCAGGAGAGGGCCCTATTCGTTCACGTGAGCAAGGGAGGCCTGAATCCCCGGTGAGGAGACAGCTTTTTCACATGTGCCTTTTACTGAGAGGCCTCCTGGCCAAGTCCAGCCCAGGACTTGAGATGTTTCCCGCCTTTGATCCTGTTGTTTATTTCTTCTCGCCTCTTCCTAGTTGAGCAGGCCACAGCTACACTCTGGTCAGTCCTGAAAACAGCGCTTCTCTTTTAGGAGGGGAGGGGAGCCTGGGCCCAAACTCACAGAATGGAATGTTGGTCAGATCCGGGGAAACCATCTGAGACCATACAGGGCAGGTGTCTCAGCCTCGGCACCGCTGATATTTGGGGGCCAGACAATCCTTTGTTCTAGGGACCTGTCCTGTGCATTGTAGGATCTTGGGCAGCATCCCTGGGGTCAACCCACTAGATGCCAGGAGCACCCTCCCCAGTTGTGACAACTGAAAAGGTCTCCGGATAATGCCTAATGTTCCTCCCCCTGTGGAGTGCCACCAATCTAGTGCAAGCCCCCATTTCACAGAATGGAAACTGAGGCCCTGAGGGGGAGACACCCTTCCCAGGGGGACACTAGTGCAGGAGTTGGGCAAGAACCAGGGTCCTTGTGGTTGTCATACTCGGGGACGGGGCTGCTTCACCGAGCTGTGAAGATTATCATACTGGTTTTCGTTTTTTATTTTTGTTTTAACTCCACCTTCACATCTGGCCCCTTTATCTCCTGCTACTACTTTATTGTCCCTCTTCTTTCATTTTATTTTTCTTATTGCATAAGTGAAATAAATTCACCACTGGAAAAACCCAGAGAAACACAGACAAAAAGAAGAAGACAAAAACCACATCACCACGCTACAATAACTATTGTTCACATTCCAAAGGATGCCTCCCACATGATGTCATGTTTCAGCATATAATTTTTCTTATGGACATGTTTTTACTTTGTTGAGTTATAAAAGCCATATTCCCCAAGCTGAGACACGCAGCCGGGGTGGACAATCCCTGACCCAGAAGCAGGCCCCTGGAACCACTGTTTCCGAGGCTTAGTCAGGATGTGTGGTAGTCCCAGTTCTTGCTGTATCCGCAGACCACGGGTCCTCTTACTTACAGAATATTTTTATTGAAACTAGCTTACTTTTTAACTTAAACTTATTTTAATGGAAGACTTTATATCACTTCCATTAAAAACTCATAATTTCTTATCATCATTAGAAAACAACCGGAGGGGAAGGGTCAAGTCAAGGAACACGTACAAAGGAACCATGGACAAAGGAGGGGGACTTGAATGTGGCGGCGGGGGGGGGAGAATTATGGGGGAAAGTGGGGACAACTATAACTGAACAATAATTTAAAAAAAATTTTTTTTAAATAACTAGAAAAAAGAAAGCAACTGGATTAA